CCCCCAGGACCAGTGGAGAGAGTGGCGATGGCGGGAGGGTGGAGGGAAGGAGAGGGAGAAAGGGGGAACAGAGAACAAGGTCTACATGTGGCCTCCTCCCTGGGGGACAGACAGCGGAGAAGTGGGTGAGGGAGACATTGGATAGGGTAAGATATGATAAAATAATAATAATTTATAAATTATCAAGGGTTCGGGGGGAGGGGAGTGGGGAGGGAGGGGGAAAAATGAGCTGACACCAAGGGCTCAAGTGGAAAGCAGGTGTTGAATGATATAAGAATGATGAAGTCAACATATGTACTAATGTGCTGGACACAAATGATGTATGTACACATTGTGATGAGCTGTATGAGCCCCTAATAAAATGATTATTTAATTAAAAAAACAAAACAAATATTGTTGGGTATGTCAACAGTACATTCACTATGGAGACCTTTTAACATCTTTTACTTCCAGGTGCATAAGCAAGAGCAAAAGCCATGTGTGCACAAACACACTTGTTCCTAGGGCCTCATTCATAGCATACATAGAATAGAAGCAAACCCAAGGTTTCTAGCAGAAAACACAGTCCCAAACAGGTACATATTCATACAAAGGAATGCAAAGCAACATTTTAAAAGATCGATCAGCAAACAGTCTCTTGAACAAGAAAGCAGACACCTAAGGGGCACTTTGCAGAAAGACCATCGAGGGATTAAGTCCAGGCATAGAGAAGAGAGACTGAAAAGCCATGGTGATATTGTTGGTCACTTCAAAAGAACAACATAGATGTGGTATGAAATGTTGTACACTACAATAACGTTAGAAATGCTCTTTGTGTAGAGATTTTAATATCATTAAAAACAATAAAACCAACATATGAATTTTTCTTGGAGTTAGAGAGATTTTATTTTAGGGGGATAAATACCCATTTGCTTCTGGCAACAGCCCTGGTTTCCTTAAACCAAAATGGAACAAACACTGCTTACCTGGCAAAACTTTTGTGTTTCTAGAAACATGACTTCATCCAGCAGCCTCAGCAGCTCCTGAAACTGAGCGTCGTGATACTCAAAGCGCTCCCCAAAGGTAATGGAGCAAATGATGTTCGAAACTGCATTGTTGATCTTGAAGTGAGGGTTGAAAGGCTGTCCTGGAGGCACAGGAAGGAAGAGATTGATCCTTTCAGATTGATTTCTGCTCCTAAGGCAAGTCTACTCTATCACACACAGCATGTGAGGTACTGGAGACAGTACGCTGCACAGGATTGCCCCATAACAAGTACTCAGGCAATGCGTGCGGAGTCAAATGTATGGCCAGGCTTTAAATTCACTAATGTGTGTAACGCCTGTCTTCCTGTAATAAACTCCATGAGGGCAGGCTTCATGGTTAGTGTTTCATTCTGACAGCTTTAGCGCCTAGCCCTGGGCTCGGCACAGGAGATAGACTTGGGCACATTGATTGAATCTCCATTCAACCAAGGAATGAGATAAACTCTTAGGCCTCTCCTGTGAAAGTCTCACCTTTCTCCTCTTCTATTGCCTCGCAAAGGCAGCGAGCCTCCTCCTGAATGCGTTCTTCTAAGTTCTTCTTCCCTAAACCAAAGTTCCTCAGTGTTGTCAGGGCAAACCTCCTTTGTTCCTTCCACACCTGGCCGCTGGACATGATCAACCCTAGGACCAAGAAAGTCAGTATTACACATTCTGCTTCCACAAGGTTGACATCTGACAAATTATGTGGAATGGAAGCAACCAAGGAAAGGCAGGAAAAGGGCATGAAGCCCTTGAAACCTGTTCAGAAAAAGAATCTCAAAGCAATGGGTTTGCTCGTCAGCATTTACTAAATGTTCATTATAACCACTGAGTGTTATTCACATTTCATGCAATTGTGTACACACAGAAATTGTATGTAATAGGAATAATTATTTTACGTTTTACTAATAAGAAACCAAGGAACAGAGGACCGAGCAAAGCTTGCAAGGCTACACAGTTTGGTCAGTAGCTGAACAGGCCTTCACATTCAGGTCTATGAGATTCAAAATCTTTGATTATTAGTCAGAAAGTCAATATATATACAGTGAACCCTCGCCACTTTGCGCTTTGACTTCCGCGGCTTCACTCTATCGCGGTTTTTGCGTAACAGCGCATGCTCTGTCATTACTGCCACTGATTGGCTCATACTGTACACGC